GCAGAATCAATCCCATCTTCTTCGAAAGTTCTTCAGTCCCCATTCCCTGCCCGTAAACCCCCACTCCTAAACCCTAAACCCTAAACCCTAAACCCTAAACCCTAAACCCTCACTTTGTCGTTCTCTTTCTAAAGCTTGCAGAATCAATCCCATCTTTTTCGAAAGTTCTTCAGTCCCCATTCCCTGCCCCTAAACCCCCACTCCTAAACCCTAAACCCTAAACCCTAAACCCTAAACCCTAAACCCTCACTTTGTCGTTCTCTTTCTAAAGCTTGCAGAATCAATCCCATCTTTTTCGAAAGTTCTTCAGTCCCCATTCCCTGCCCCTAAACCCCCACTCCTAAACCCTAAACCCTAAACCCTAAACCCTAAACCCTAAACCCTCACTTTGTCGTTCTCTTTCTAAAGCTTGCAGAATCAATCCCATCTTTTTCGAAAGTTCTTCTATTTGTTCACTTCCACTTCCTCTCAAGTGTTTTGGCAATGTCAAAACCACTGGAGGCACCAGGGCCTTTTCGCGGTTTAGCGCCTCCACCTGCACCCAAACCCTAAACCCTAAACCCTAAACCCTAAACCCTAAACCCTGAACGCGAGTTTCTGACGCCATAGGCGATGCAGGGGGCAGCAAGCAGCCCGGAAACCCTAAACCCTAAACCCCAATTCCCCGAACCCGAGCTGAACATTCATCAAAGGTACGAGGGTTTAGGGTTTAGGGTTTAGGGTTTTCGAACTCACTATTTTGTACAGCCGCTGGATTTCCGCCCGCTGCTCTTCTATTAGCTTCTTGCCCTCCAGCAAGCTCCTGCAGCCACCCGTATCAAACCCTAAACCCTAAACCCTAAACCCTAAACCCTATGCCCTGCACGCCTATAATTTAGGCGGCCCCCCTCTCCCGAAGGTGTCGCTTTGGAGAGCCTGAGGGTTTAGGGTTTAGTAGGGTTTGCCCAATGAGCTAGGGTTTAGGGTTTAGGGTTTAGGGTTTAGGGTTTAGGGCCTCTTACGCTTCCGATTGCACGAGGCACATCTTGGAGATCCTGAGCTCTGCAGAACATTTGAAAAAACAAAAACCCTCAAACTGAAGGGTTCACATTCGAGGGTTTAGGGTTTAGGGTTTAGGGTTTAGAGGGCGCACAGGGAAACAGCTGTGCAGCGCAGCACGCTAAAGCGCGCACCGGGATTCGTCGCGCCGAGTGGGGGCCTCCAAACAAGG